TGTAATAAACAATCAGTACTAAGCTGTTTTGATTACTGTAGACATACTGGGAAAAAAAAAAAAAACCCAAACTCCTTGCCGTCGAGTTGGTTCCAACTCATAGCGACCCCTCCTGGGGTTTCCGAGGTGGTATCTCTACGGAAGTAGATTGCCCAGTCTTCCTTTCGAGGAGTGGCTGGTGTGTTTGAACCACCAGAATTCTGGTTAGCAGTCAAATGCCTTACATACTACACCACCAGAGCTCCCGTAGCCATACAATATGTTTTTAAACCAGAAAGTGTGAGTCATCCTACTTTGTTCTTCTCTTTCAACAATATTTTAGCTATTCAAGGCCTCTTGCCATTCCATATAAAGTTGAGGATTGGCTTTTCCATTTCTGTAAAGAAGGCTGTTGGAATTTTTATTGGGAATGTGTTGAATATATAGACCACTTTGGGTAGTATTGACATCTTAACAATATTAAGTCTTCCAATGCATGAACATGGAACATCCTTCCATTTATTTAAATCTTCTTTAATCTCTTTCAGCAGTGTTTTGTAATTTTCAATATGTCAGTCCTTCACATGCCTGGTTAATTTTTTTCCCAGGTATTCTATTCTCTTAGACGCTATTGTAAATGGAATCTTTTCCCTTTAAGATTTCTCATTGCTAGTGTTAGTTATGGGAGCTCTGGTAGCATAGTGGCTAAGACACTTGCCTGCTAACCAGACGGCTGGCAGTTCAAACCCACCAGCCACTCCTCGGAAGGAAGGTTGGGCAATCCTACTTCCGTAGTGATACTGCCTTGGAAACCCAAGGAGGGGTCGCTATGAGTCGGGGCCGACTCGACGGCACATAACAACAACAACAACGGTGTTAGTTATGTGGTTTATTAGAGAAGTAACAGGCTACAAATCAGGATCAGGATCAATTTGGATAGGATATAACTCAGGGGACAGGATCAACTTCATAAGGAAAGCTTCCAAATAGGACCCTCTCGGTTCCTTCTGGACCACGCCTGGAGGAGGCCTTTCTCTTGGCCGTGCCAGTTGGCAGCCCTTCTCTTGGTCGTTGGGCGTTGCTAGGTCTCATGCTAGCCATTGGGCCTTACCTCTGCTGCTGGGCCTTCCTGAGGCGCTGCCCGCTCAGGCAACTCTTACAGTTCTTTTGGCTCCTAAGGCACTTGACTGCTAACCAGGAGGCTGATGGTTCAAACCTACCAGCCACTCCTCGTAAGGAAGATGGGGCAATCTACTTCTGTAGTGATACTGCCTCAGAAACCCAAGGAGGGGTTGCTATGAGTTGGGTCCAACTCGATGGCACATAACAACGACAACAATAACAAGTGCTGAGAGGCACCCTGCTCTGACAATAAGCCTCCTGCCTGAAGGTGCTCAGCTCTGTCTGTCTTTGTGGGCCAACAAGCACTGCCACATCTGTCTGTTGGTCCTTTGGTTCCTGATGCTCATACTGCTGTTGCTGTCTTGCTCCAGTCCGTGCTGTGGTCAGTATTATAACTCTTGACCCATAATACATCTCTTTTAGGAGGTTCCTTCTCTCTCTCATTACCAAACCAAAAACCAAACTTGCTGCCATGGAGTTGGATCTGAGTCATAGCGACCCCTCCTTGGGATTCTGAGGTGATATCTCTATGGAAGTAGATTGCCCAACCTTCCTTCCAAGGAATGGCTGGTGGGTTTGAACTGCCAGCCTTCTGGTTAGCAGTCAAATGCCTTAAGCACTACCCCACCAGAGTGCTTCTCTCTCCCATTACCTCTCTCAAAACCTCTGTCAGGTTGGGTGCTTATACACACAAAGTCCTTGTCAATTTCAAAGCAGGGCCCTTCCAGCTGGACCACAAACAGACCAATCCTTGCAAAGTCATTTAATCCTATTGAATGCTGTTATGCACCACCACATTTGCATAGTAAAGTGACCAATCCCTGCAAAGTGCATAAAAAAAAAAAAAAAAAAACCCACAAAAAACAATCACAGGGCAGACTGTGGCCTAAAGAATCATTTTTGGCAGAATTGAAAACCCAAGGCCAGAAAGGCCACATATAAAGAGAAACTCATTGCACTACACATGCCATACTATACTAGTTGTCATGGAGTCAATTCCCTCTCACAGAGACCCCGTGTGTGAGAGAGCAGAACTGTGTGATTATATTTGAAGCTTCAATATTCTTTAGGGTGAGTGCGAGGTACAGATGAATTGTAGGAAGTGATTTGGAGGGGTTAGGACTGGAGGAAGAACAGTCAGGTTGTTGGAAGATTCAAGTAAAATGACAAGGGCTGGAACAAGAGTGGCAATAGGACACCAATATAAAAAGATTTAAGGGATTAAGAACAGAGCCATGTGGTAGCATGAAATATTGTACCTAAAAGAAACATGAGAGTTCTTTTGGTCCAATGCCTTCATGTTGTTGTTGTTATTTGCCGTCGAGTCGGCCCCGACTCATAGCGACCCATCCTTGGGTTTCCATGGCAGTATCACTACGAAAGCAAGATTGCCCAACCTTCCTTCCGAGGAGTGGCTGGTGGGTTTGAACCGCCAGTCTTCTGGTTAGCAGTCAAGTGCCTTAGGCACTATGCTACCTTCATAGAAATGTGGAAATGGAAATCCAGAGAGTATAATCACCTTGCATGCTTAGTTATCATGGCAGGAAGGGGTGGGGACCTCAATGCTTGTTCCACTATTTCACACACCTCCTACAGTATTTCACCTATTTTAATAAGTCATTGCTTGAACAGTTTCTCTTAGAAAGATCAGCACAAGGCTGGTTCCCATGAGGTGGAGGTTAAAGATGTCCCAAATGTCCAAACTACCGTGCCACTCCATCATTTCAGACATTAAGTCCTCCTCCTCCTCCCAGTAATCTCCCCAGTCTTAGGGTTCTGTATTTTGCTATAACGCCTCACAGAACTCACAGACCCCCAGGGAATTGTCTCACATAGTAGTGGGGGAGGCTGGCAGGCTGGCGAGTCCCAGGTCTGTGAGTGGGTCTGGAGGATCCTCCCAATTCTCGGGGTTTGATGAACCTCGATCAGCAGATCAGATCACGGCTGCTGTCCCGAATCCAGGGGTGAGATGAGGATGAGCCAAAACACAAAACCAGAGCAAGAGGAGGGTGAACCTTCCCAGGAGATTTGTAGGTATACCCTCAAGGAAGCTAAGGGTGGTGATTTAGTTATACCCTCCAGCAAGGCAGGACTCAAGATACATTCCACCTGTGTTGCTCCAACAAAACCCAAGTGGGTGGCTTGAACAATCAGCAGCTACTCAGTTGCTCACTGCAAATCCCACCACAGAGCCGATTGCCAGTCATTATAGGGAACAACTACTACCAGCTGCCCAGACAAGTTGACACCAACCTTACCTACTGCACCACCCCAAAGAGGCATGGATAATAGGATTTACAATACATCACAGAATGGAGGACAATGGCTAGAAGGGCCACATCAAGCAATTCACCGAAGTCGTATACTTTTTTTTTTTTTTTTTACATTTCTGAAATCAAGGTCCATCTTACAATTGATGGCATGTCAGTTTATCTGGCAGCTTTCTTCTTGTTGTTAGTTTCAGTCAGTCAATTTTGACCCCTGGTGATCCCATGTGTTACAGAGTAGAACTGCTTCACAGGGGTTTCTGGGCTGTAATCTGAACAGAAGCAAACTGCTAAACCTTTCCTACCTTGGTAAGCTTTTTTCCTTACTGCCATCTTAAAAAAGTATCTTATTACTGATTGCATCTTAAATTCGATGAAATACAGTACCTACTCCTCACTGACTATCTCATAATTTGACATTTCATTGAATTTACAATTGTAAAAAACCTACTATCCAAATTGTTTTGCATTATAACAATGTACATGTGGCAGTAACAAACACTGAGGTGGGAGGTGAGAATAACATTGGTTGTGATAGTTAAGGTTATGTGTTGACTTGACTGGGCCATAATGCTCAGTGGTTTGGCAGTTATGTAATGATGCAATTTGGCAGTTACGTAATGATGTAATTATTCTCTGTGATCTGATGTGATGCTCCATTTTTGCATAAAGCAGATTTTCACACAAAGGTTTGGCCTTTGGACCTTGTGTTCATAAACGAGGAGTGGGTGTATGTAAGACGATATTAATATCCTTCTGTTTGAAGACCTCTGGTACTGTTTGTGAAGTTTAAAGGAAATAATTTGTTTTAGTCCTCAAAGGAGCTCTGGTGGTGTAGTGGTAAGGCTTTTGGCTGCTAACCAGAAGGTTGGTGGTTTCAACCCACCAGCTGCTCCATAGAAGAAAGATTGGGCAGTCTGTTTCCATAGATTTACTGCCCTTGCAACCCAATGGGAGTCGCTATGAGATGGCAGTGAGTTAACCCTCAAAGCAATTCCAACATAAGGTATTTTGCCAGATCCTCACAATGCAGCAGACAGGGCAAGTATGATCATGACACAGACATGAGAGGTTCCTCTGATCTTGGAGCCAGAATGGCTTCCATCTTGACATTCCCCTTTGAGTTCCTGACCCTTTTTTGGACGCTGTCTCATAAGACAATGGTTCCAATTCATGGCCTTCTCAGGTGGCAGAAATTTGTGGGCTTTAGGAGAGGGATGGAATCACTCTGGACCCTTTCTCCGAAGGGCAGCAGCTTCCTGGCCATGGCGCGGGAGGCCGTAGGAAAATCCAGGCAGCAGTTCCAGTGAGTACTGCTTTTAACTTTGCTTCTGGAGGTGCCCAACCCTAGCTTATAACCAACAACCATGCTGGTGGCCCAGGAGGGCCTCTCCGCATTCCAGAGGCGGAGTCACTACCCTGGACCCGCCTCTTTTCCTATCAGGGTCATGGCCCAATGCTAAGTCTGCCTCCTCTCTGACTCCGGCCCCTCAAGTGACCTGCCGCCTCGCCCACTAACTTCCCTTCTTTGCGCCATAATCTCCGCCTTCTCCTCCGGAGCCCCGCCCCACGGCTCGGTTTAGGCCCCGCCCCTTCCCATCTGTGGGGCGCCTGGGCGGCCCAGGGAGCAACATGGCGGTGAATCAGAGCCACACACAGAACCGCCGTGGGGCCATCATCCCTTACGGTGAAAGGTGCCTGAGGGGCAGCCCGGGTAGCTGCCAGAGGAGGGAGGAGGGGAATGGGTAGACGTCAGGGGCTCTCAGCGAATTAGGGCCTTTCCCGCCTGTTCCTGGTGTGGGGGGGAAGCTCCGCCTCTCAGCGTATGGGAGCGCGGGCCACCTCGCGCGCTGCCTCTAGGGTACTCTGGATGTGGAGAGCAGTGAGCAGGAGCACGCCGCCTCACGGGGGCGCAGGGCAGGAGGCGTGTCGCCCCAGAAGAGCAGTCCGAGGGGACCCACCGGTCGTGAGGACTCAGACCTCCCCTCCGGGTCGCGGTATGGCTACCTGACCGCGACCCTGAGGGTCCCGCGTGCGTCCCTTCTCTGACTCTCAGGGGCAAGGTCCCGGAGGCTTAGCACAAACAGGGTGGAGCACAAACGGTGTGCGCCACCAAGCCATTCTTAGGTATTTTCCTCTGTGTCTGCTATGATTTGCCCTGCTTTTCTAACCTAGCGGTGAGCTCGTGACCGGATGCTGTGCCCGGCTGGGACAGCACACCGAGGTGGGTTTGAATTGATCAGGAAATGCCACTGAGACATCATGAAAAACTGCTGTTCAGATCTTTTTCTTATGCTTCTTTCCCTGGAATAGTTTCCTGACAGGATTGTCCGGGCGTCAGAATTGTCTTCACCTGCTCCCTGAAATCGCTCTGCTGCTTGGTTCAGTTTCACGGCGGGAGGTGATCACTCTTGCCTCTGACAGTCAGGCATCTGAGTACTGACCTAGAGCACTGTGCCTTGTGGCCGTCATACTGTGCTGTGACCCCATTTCTAATCTGGTATTGGAGTGTCTTCTCACTCAGGCTCTGCCTTTCTGTTCTTCTGTGGTATGTTGGAAGCAGGAGTCAAACAGGTTTTTTTTTAAATTGGCACATCATTTGGGTTCAATGAATGATAAAGACATTAACTGGGATTCAGATCATTTACTTAAGCTTGAACCCTTGCTGAGGTTCTTCTCAGTGTTTGGGGCAGGATAATGTTAGATAACCTTAGCTCATCGGGGCTGTGCAATTTCATCAGCGGTTTTCATCTCTCAGAAATCTGTTGTTCTCCAGACAAAACCATTTGGCCAACGTGGTAAAAATGCATTCTTTGTTTTACTGTAGTTTACTGTCACTGAAGTTTTACAATCAGTGTGGCATCCTTGTAGAACATCCTAGAGTGACCCCCTGCCACACCCCCAGGAACATTTGGCAATGGAAGCAGCAGTCAAGACATCAGATGACGTATCGCACTGGGCAAATCTGCTGCAAAAGACCTCTTTAAACTGTTGAAGAGCAAAGATGTCTCTGTGAAGACTAAGGTGCACCTAACCCAAGCCATGGTATTTTCAGTCACCTCATATGCATGTGAAAGCTGGACAATGCATAAGGAAGACCAAAGAAGAGTTGATGCTTTTGAGTTGTGCTGTTGGTGAAGAATACTGAAAGTACCATGGACTGCCAGTAGAAGGAACAGATCTGCTCCTTGGAAATGAGAATGGGCAGATTTTGTCTCACTTACTTTGGTCATGTTTTCAGAGGAGACCATTCCCTGGAGAAGGAGGTCATGCTTGGTAAAGTGGAGGGTCAGCGAAAGAGGGGAAGGCCCTCAGTAAGATAGATTGACACAGTGGCTGCAGTGATGGGCTCAGATATAACAAGGATTGTGAGGCTGGTGCAGGACTGGGCAGTGTTTTGTTCTGTTGTACATAGGATCACTATGAGTCAGAGTCGACTCAACAGCATCTAACAACAAACATTTCTGGTTGTCACACTTGTGTGTGTGAAGTGCTATAGACATCTGTTGGATTGAGGCCAAGGATCCTGTAAGCATCCTACAGTGTGCTGGACAGCCCCCTACAACAAAGAATTACCTGACCCAAAATGTCAGTAGTGCCAAGGTTGAGAAACTGCACAGAAGAGGTGACCAAAGAATTTGACTCAAATGAAGTGCCAACTGCATAGCTACCTCCTGAACAACATCATGTCTAAGGCCAAATTTATGACCCCATCCTTCAATAATTTTCTTTTTCTGACTCTCATATTTTTTTGGAGGCAAGGTCATCTTTGGTTTCAAATGATCATTTTGTCCCTCAGATCCAATGAGTTAGCTACCAAGTTCAGTGGATTCTTCCTTCAGTCTTTTTTATTTTTTGAACTTTCACACTTAATAAATCTAAGTCACTTTTTAAAAACTGAAGTAGAAATTCATATAACATAAAATGTGCTATTTTAACTATTTTAGAATGGGCGTTGTGGCTTTTAGTGCATTCATCATGTTGTGCGATCATCACCGTTACCTAATTCCAGAGCGTTTTCATCACTCCCAAGAGAAAGCCTGGACCCAATAAGCAGTCACTTCCATTCCCTACTTTCCCAAACCCCTGACAACCACTCTTCTGCTTCCTGTCTCTATGGACTTGCGAATCCTGGATATTTCATGTAAATAGCATCATACAACGTAAGGGTTTTGTGTCTGGATTCTTTCACTTAGCATTGTCTTCAAGGTTCATTCATGTTGTATGTAGCATGTATCAGGACTTCAATTCTGAGGTCCAGCTTCATTCTTTTGCATGTGGATATCCAGCTATCTACTGTTTGTTGAAAACACGATTCTTTCCTCATTGAATGGACCTGGCAAATATAAAAAAGCAACTGACTGTAGATGTGTGGGTTATTTCGGGACTATTCCATTGATCTGTATGTCTATTCTTATGTCAGTACCATATTTTTAATTACTGTAGCTTTGTAGTAGATTTTGAAATTAGGAGTGTGAGTCCTCCAACTTTGTTCCTTTTTTGAAGATTATTTTGGTTATTCTGAGCTATTTGCAATTCCGTATGAGTCATCAGCTTGTTCATTTCTGCAAAGAAAGGCAGTTGGAATTTCCATAGGGATTGCGTTGAGTCTGTAGATCATTTTGGGCAATGTTGCTTTGTTATGTGCTGTCGAGTCAGACCCGACTCATAGCCACCCCTCCTTGGGTTTCCGAGGCAGTATCACTACGGAAGTAGATTGCCCAACCAACCTTCCTTCCAAGGAGTGGCTGGTGGGTTTGA